CGGTGTCTGTTTCATTTGTCCATTTTTAAAAAGGTAAGCGCTTCAGAGAACAAGGTATTTTAAAATCACGAGTTTTAAGTTTTATTTTTAGTTAGAAAACAAAGCAGCAAAAATTAAAAGAAGACTGAATGGTAAGTAGTTTTGTTCTAACGGATCATTACACATATGACGGAATGCCTCTGTTTTATGTCGCCGGTAATCGAAAATAGATGCCAGGTCTAAACTACTCGAAAGGCAGCACCAAAGCCCCTTTAGATTTGGAAACACCTTCCCATCAACTATTGAATCCTCAGGGGGTAATCTGAGTACTCCACTTTGTTTGTTGTTAGTGTCTTAAACACAAGTCAATTCGCTGAAACAGAATAGGTCGTGTAAAATTACAAAACGTGTGTTTGAATCATCTGGATCCTGCTAGTCAACTTTGTAAACCAGGTTTAACATTGAATTACAATGTACTTTAAAGCAGCTAACATCATTCCAAGCGACAGATACAAGATTTTGACTGCTAAAATGGGCAAGATTATGCAATTATTGTATGGCTGCTTGCCATTTCACGTAAGTACTCGGGTACTTAAGTGTCCGCAGGTTGTACCTCCGCTCTGCTGAATGGCCCTTGGGCCACACCAATACCCATTTCCGAAATGCCACCAATCGAAAGGCAAAAGTTTAACTTATTTTAGCCTCGAAATGCACTTTAGATAAGCATGCAAAAGTTCGGAAAGAAGGTTTCATCTTAAAAAGAGGAACTAAATTCGTAGTAAAATTTGAGGCCCTCTAAGTCTTGCCTGGATTTGAAAGAGTTCATAACAAAAGGACAGAAAATGTATTACCAACGAACAGAAGGTCTGAGCGGCTGCTGACATGGTCCGTAGGCCATGCCGCCCCGTGGAAGTACAATCGCGGAGCTTTCGATGCCCGCGTAACAAAAACGAACAGTTAAACAAACAATCAAAGCATTACAAATCCACTAATGTATTGCTAGCAATAGTGCTTGCAACAGGCGACAGTCACGGTGGAGGAATTACTATACATTTAACTCTAAACGGCCGAGGATTGATTAGGTTTCGATTCGGATTTCCACCTAAAATAGGAAAATAAGCTGGATTTTACCTAATATGTTTCGAGTTTTAATTCGCTTTGGTTCGTTCAGTTTAGGGGGAAAAGGGTTGAACTTATGGACAGACTAGGGAAGGAATCTGGCCACCGTTATGCAGATAGTTACGTTAAATTTCTAACCTTTATTTGGCATTTTTAAAAGGGTTAATAAGATTAACCTTTATAGTCAGCCGCTGAATAGGTAAAATGTAGAAACAACACTACTTTCCTTCGTTCCAAAATATATCCTACATAAACGTGCGGGCAAAACACCCTTGTTTAAAAATTTATGCAGGTTGGAGGTATTTCATGATTTGGCTTGTGCATAATATTTCAAAGTGTATCAATCCTGAGTAAAGGTAACATGCAGTATGCTTTGAAACCGCGAAATTTACTGACTTTGCGCCCTGAGGCAGGAAAGCAATGGCAGACTTAAATCCCCATCCTGCCCTCTTCACGAAAAATTTTTTCCTTGGCACGATGCCAATCCCAAATGCCGTACACACGCCAATTGTCGATGTTACTTATGGGCGAAATCAAGTCATTTATTTTGGCCTACTATGCGGCCGTTGTTTTGGGACAACCCTCCCCAAGCATTCAAACAAGCACTGATGCACCCACGTCCAGTACCCACAGATGTTTGGAGGAAATCGGCGCACATGGACACATTAAACCGGTTAACAAAATTTCGGTGAATGAGGGTCACTATCCTTCGCATGAAGTTAAGATAGGTGAACTTTCTTTCAACCCACCTCTCCACATCTCTCCTCTTACCATCGGTGGATTTTCGCGTCTGTCTCCATGCAAAAAGGGAGCAGGCTGTGAGGAGAGCCACAGCACAAACTGCCCCTATCGTAATACCAACGATTTTACCGAGATGTAATCCACTGTTATCTAAAATTATGCGCAGAAGAAAAATAAAAATACGACTTTATTGCACCTATAGCGCGCCTTCCAAGTGAAATTTATGCTCCCATCAACCGGAGCAGTTTACACTCAGCTCGGTAGTGAAATACGCCTACAGTTTGTCCACAGAATATCTCCCATGCTAACTTTTGGAGCTGTCACTACTACTTACTAGCAAAAAATGTTTCACCATTTTTTAAAGGTATTGAAAGTAATAGAAACAGAATCCAAGTGAAGAATACTCACCTTGAATGAGTGACATGGATGCTGCATCTTCGTCGATTTGGAATACACTCTTGCCTGGAACAAAAATGACACACTAATTCGGTTTTACGACGGTACGTAAGAAGGAGATGGCATGATCACTACCACCATCAAGAATGGCTTGTTTTGTGATGAATATAATCGTCGGGTACTTTCAGTTCATAAACCTTTTCCGCTTGTAATTTCCCTTCCTGATTTCTTAGTGTCTCAAACTTGGTAGGCTATCCCGAAAAACCGTGGGAAGCGAATGCACGTTATTTGTTTCACTCATATTTAGTTGAATTTTTGAAAATACAAAATAAAATAGATGAAATTAATAACAATAACAACAATAACAAAAACTCTGCTATGGCTTTTTGTGCATAAAAATTAAATGAATGCATTAGGTCTAAGCAGTCTTTGTATTAAAAAGAGCAAAACTGACGAAAAACTAAGTACTGATTAAAGCAGACATTCGAGCCAAACCCTGACTCCAGATTTTACAAATGCACCGCCAAAAAGGCAGGTTAAAGTGGTGCCATTACAGTGGATAGTAAATGGCAAGTCAAGCCATCATCAGTAACAGGTAGGTGACCGACATGTTGCAGGCCGGTTCACATCGCCTTCATCAAGATGCCTGTGGTGACAAATCGGACATCTCAACAGCTAAAGCGTGGGATTCTGAGCCCCGGAGAACTACAAATGCCTGTGTCCATGCGACACTCAGCGACTCTCGACATTTTAAAACACTCGAATGGTGTCAACCCGTCAAAGGCGCTGGCCGTGGCCTTTCCCAGTCATTCAGCTCACTCGGTGGCCATTCGGTCTGTGCGTGCAACGCTTGCCTCATCAGTGGACGCAACTAAACTTGACGTGTGACAGAATTACACAGGAGAGGGGTGTAACCGTGGCACTAGAGAACACAACGTGACCTGGTGTAACCACCTTGATTACCAGGACAGAACTTCACTTTTGACCGACTGCTTTAGTGAAGGAAGGTGTTCAAAGATATTTTAACTGCACTAACAGCTCTTTTTAATATAAATGCCTCCAGTCATTCGTTAAAAGCTGAAGTAGGTTTATAAATGAATCGGAATATCAAGTAAAGTGCTAAAATCTGTTTTGATACCTTACAAATTATTACTTATTTTAATGTCAGTATAAATTCCCGCCTTCATTTGAACGCCGGTGTATGTTTTACCGGCACCTTACCTTTTGTAGCAAAGGTAGTTTCAGTGGTGGTAGTGGTAGTAGTAGTAGTGGGTGTAGTAACGTATGCTCTTGTTGTGGTAGTTGTCATAGGTTCTTCTAAAATAAGGTCAAACAAATCGCATAATTCGAATTTGTATCTAGTCGGGTGTCCATAATACGCAGAGTACTAACGGAAGCTAATCTACCCTTCAGTCTCAAATGCATTCTCAACTAACAATTTTGTGATTAGCATGCATGAAGGAGCAATTAAGAAGACAAAACTGGGTAACTTTGCAATCCTTTCGCAACAGGACACGAACTTGTCAATTCCACTTTTATCCACCATTTTGACTTAACTAGTGGAGAAGAAACGTGGTCCTACCTTCCATAATCCCACTTTTATCTCACATCCATCTATCTTACCTTGCACGTGATCATATAATTGTCTAGTACAAAAACAAGGTGATAATCATCACTTGGAGAATGAGAAGGGGGATGCGAATAAATACCAGAATACGACAGTACTTCCTATTCCAAGTCAAGGGACCTGTGACGCCATCTCATTGGTACGCCCCACCGCATGCGGTATGTTGGTTCGTTAGAATGGGACTTGCCTCGGACTCGCTGACTAGTCCTGACTGACTCAGAGGTGATTTTCATGCACAAAATTGAGTTGTGCCCCAACCCATCATATCACAATGCATCGTTTCCTAATGATATCGTAGCAAGTAAAGGGATCACAGTCCCAACGATAAATTGATCCTCAGCAGCTGTAGGGCTCCCTCTCCGGGGCATTCACACACACTCACACACAGACATGCAAAGCAAGCACCGTCTTCTGCAGCAGCGGCAGTATCTCATACCTTGAATGTGAAGGGTGGGGTAGGATGGCTGAATGTAGCAGGGTGGATAGGGCGGAGTGGGTAAGGTGAAGTGGGTGAGATGGTGGATCTTTTGGGGAGTGAATATAGAAGCAATTAAGTCACTACCATCACAAGTCAATGAGCAAATGAACAGTCCTATCCCATTGCTGGGCTTTTCAGTAATGTGGAAGGAACGAAGAACAGCTTAGGTTCATCCGTCAATATGTAAAATGTGGAGAAGACCCACTTGTGCAGAAGTATCCACGACTTTCCAATTGGCGATTTATGTATGCATGTGAGTGTAAAAGAATAACTTCATTTCTCACTTTAAAAACGACCAAGAATTCCCAACAGGTTAGCCTCGAATCGGTATGCCAACAGCCATGTGAGGCTTTGGGGTTATCAAGGCTGAGGGTTGTCCTGAAAGTGATGCATCTGTGGATGAGTGATCCATCACCAGAATCCAGTAAATCGGTTAGAGCACATCGCATCTACCCCTGCTACAAGGAACATCTGCGTTGTTGAAACTGAATTACACCCACACTACAAGCTTGAGCCCCAACGATTAGATTTAAATGACATTTGATTGAATGCGATTTCAGAATGATAGGAAAAAAGTCCACGCCTTATATTAGCGCATTTCTACATGCAATCTACCAATTTTCACTGCTACAAGCTATGCAGAAAACAGCACTCTCTTGGTCACCTGACAGGCAGGTATAGCTGACACATCTTACCCCAGTGAATGACGTGCGTGAGCCAATCGCCTCCATAATTGCAGGTGTAGTAGTCAGTTGACCCATTGCTTGTCACCTCGGTGTCAATGACCTTCCCATTATCGTTGTTTTTGTGAGCTAAGAAGAACAACAACGAAGACTAGCAGTAAATAACAACTTAACACAAATTTTTAAACTTGCAAATTTCCCTTCATCAGTGAGGTTAGTGCTACCGCATTCACGACTGAACACATCAACAATCAAAGAGACCATAAAACTTACCAACTTTTAAAATGTGAGGATACGTTGAAATAAAATTGTCCCACTCATAACCAAAATGTGTAGTACTGTAATATAGAACTTTTTGTGCTGTTGTAAATAACTGAAACTGAAAAACAAAAAAAATGCCAAAAATGTACACAGGCTGGGAGCTAATGGCTATTGCCATTCATCACTTTGAGTACAGTGATACTCACTCCGCCAAGCCACCTCTTTATGAAGCAGGTCAAGATGACGGTCGTGTTTTTGGGGACTCGGTGGCGTACAAGTGGAGTGGAGTAGGTCGGATTGATGAGTGCTAGATGGCAATAAGGGTAAAGGGCGTGAACCTCAGGTTTTCCTCAATCACTTCAGTCATAAACTTGCTACACAACATTATAAGAAAAGAACACAACCGAAAGATTGAGCACCATTTAGGCAACTTTGCATCCTTTCCATCTACGGTCTTACCGGAGGTAGACTCTGACCAGGTGTTGTTGTTGAAAAAGTAGATAGTGGTTGGAATAAGGTCTTCATCAGAAAGGAGGTAGATGTAGGTTAAATGCTCATTCATTGTGCCCTTTAGGGTCAGTGTTCTCTCCTCCACGCCGTCTGATTTAATGAAAAAAACGTTTGATAAAAAGTTGCATTTTTATTGCAGTGCACTTAGGGCCAAAAATATCAAATCTGACCTTTTGCAATTTGGCATTGAAAAAGCTTGGTGGAGCAGAGCCCTGCCTTTGAGATCGGGAACGTACCCTCGTCTGTGACAAGTATCTGTATACAAAAGTAACATAAGTGTTACTTTTTACGCCCTCGTAGTAGTGGTAATGGAAGGAGGACTTGCATATTCGTCTTTTCAACCTACTTGATAGTCGACTGGTAATGAGGTCTGCACATGGAATTCACTTCCTACAAAACCGTAGACTTCGTGACCTGTTGTCAAACATTGAGTACCTAAGGGGTGTAATACGCAAATTTGTAAAACTCTATCCGTAATCTTAGCAAACAACATATTTTAACCCAATGATTTGGCGTAAAAACATGGGATGTTACGACGTTAAGTAGGCTCTACACCACTGTACCTTTGTCGGGTGGTCTGGGCCTCGGCTCATGTCAGTAGCCCCAAGTCCCGGTGTATATCTACAGTACATATTCTGCTTGAGTATTATAGTTTCTTTCGACTTCACGCCCTATGATAGGCATGAGCGACTTCACTTGCTGGCGATTGAGATTAAAGAGCCATGTTTGACTCGTCTTCGGATGCGTTTCTAACGGAGTTGATCCTCTCAGACAACATCCACTACCGTGACAGCAGTGAAGAAATGTACCAGACGTCTTCTACCACTTGCAAACAACATGACAAGACTTGAGTCAAGCTGAATCGGGTCTTTAATACACCAAAAGCCAAAGGAATCTTCTGTAGAGAGGTGAGTTTTGGGATAATTAAACGAACTTTTTGCCATTCATTCCAGCCCGGAGCTCTTCCACTTGAATGGTACCAAAGCAAGTCTAGGATTGGATGAGGATGTTAAGAGCCCCATAGCAATGGGGAAAAAATGAATAGCAATTGTAATTTGGGACAAAGATTCAAAACTAACCCAGTAAAGTAGGAAATAAGGAAAAGGAGGAAAAAACTGGGGGACAAATTTGTCCCACGATATCGGTGGGTTTTGCAGGAATTACTAGTTGCAACCCGTAGACTCATAGCATGATTACCATCATTCTAACGTAGGCATTTGAACAGGGAGCGATAAATAAGCACATAAGTCTGTGAGTACGCTACTTCTCATTGTACTCTGAACCATTTTTCTCTTATTTCGAAATCTCGTTCGCTTACATACCATATGAGTCTGATGGATAAGGGTTAAGGTTTGGAATGGGGAGAAGTCTGCTTCCGTTTCAAAATCGCAGAGGTTTCTTGTGGGATTTACCATATAACCCTTGGAGAAGGTGCAGCATGTCCTAACAGATCCGCGTTTAAACAATGTGATTCCGGTGATGGATTGCCCAAAGACAGTTGCATCACTTTCAGGAAGACCCTCCATCTGATGGAATATACATGTCGCTGGTGGCATCCCAATTCAAGGTTAGCAGGCCAAAAATACTTGGTTGTATTTGACGTGAGAAAAGAATTAAATCGTTTACACCCACGTAAACATATGCACAAGTCGCGAATCGGAAAGTCGTGGACTCTTCTAAGCAGATGAAATCTGTCCACAAGCCGTATCTTAACAGTTGAATAGTAACTTTAGACTCCCCACCCATTTACTGTTCTTCGATTCTTCTACACTACAGAAAAGCTCAGATATGGGAAAGGTTGTCTGTTTGCTCAATGACTTGTGACTTCGGTATACACTCCATCACTGGTTGAGCAAATGATTACGTCGTTTATGATCCTTAAACGACCCACAAACCTACTCATTCCTTCATTCTAACTTGCCCTTCTTACTCCAAATGCCTCAAAAGCAGCGGAGTTACTGAGAATGAACTCCACCTCAAGCTCACAAACTAAGTCAACCGCATTGTATAGAAATTCTCCTATTCAACTTCCCGTGCGGTCTCACTGGAGAGTGTATAAATGACTAACAAAAGGCCATTGACCTGGGCAGGTGTTCGGATTTAGCGGGGAGGTTTAATTTAGGAGAGGCAAAGTCGGTGACTAATGCGACTCTCCCTCCCCTGTACTCACACCGACCACCGCCAGTAAGACTAGGCTCGAAGGGGGAACATGGCCACTGACCTCTGCACAGTCATTTGTTTACACAACACTCTACTATCGGCCATTCAGTCAAAGGGTCAATACGAGCTTAAATTCTAGCAACCAAGGCATTTTTGCACTAACCAATACTTATAGTAGAAGAAACAGGTTTGAACGCAGTGGCAGCGTTACTCCACGACTCCCCATTCATGCCTACAGCCTCCCAGTCTAAACACCAGCAGGTCATTCCACAATGCTGGATGACTAGGGAGTCACAGTGTTGATAGAAGCAAGAAAATATTCTCCAAATTTGTAATTGACTGTAATGCATTCAAATGGGGGGTTCTAAAATCCCTGTAGATTCTAACACCACCTCGGCGATATGGCTTCACACCGAAGCCTGTAGCCTCGCGACCCATCTGTACCCTAACAATAAAAGGCTCTTACACTACTAGTATGCCTTGTTAAGACTTCAGCGACGAATTGTCGTTCCTTTAAACCTCACGTTAATCAAACAAGTGGAGACAGAAGCCGATGATAAATGCAGACGAATGAAGCAGCAGAAGTCACTCTTTCATCATTACTACTTCAAATGACTGAAAATAATGGTGGCTCAATTAAAACGAATTCAAGCGCATTAGCTTGATTTTTAAGAAAAAAAAACCCGGTAGACAACTAAAAGTAGCAGATAGGCAATAAAATGAAACTGTAAAAATATCATTATGTGTAAATGAGTAAGAATGACGTGAAGAGCAAACTTACTGCGTAAATTAAGCAAAACTGCTAATAGGAGCCACATATCTAAATCCCTGACTGAGACGAGACACCGGAGGGCTTGAAATGAGGCATAAAAGGGCTCCACCTGTCGGTGACCGAACACAGTCGATTTTGGCTCGATCCGATTGGTAAAACGGGTTTAAATTGTACTGGTCAATCACAACGGTCGCCTTACGTCGCCACTTCCTATTGAGGCTGGACCGGGTGATGTGACTCAGCTACCCACAGCCAGTGCCTCGAACGTTTACCATCACGGCTATTGGCCGCCTTAAGGCCATCTGGGGGGATATGTAAATTGATCGGGTGGAAGTGCTTATCTAGGTCCCACCAATCGCCTCATGGTGAACGCTCTTGTTATGCATTCTCACATATGAGAATATAATTATAATTGGTGTTACAGCTTCATCTGCTCTTTGCAGTTTTAATCTGGCACCAAATATAATTGTTTGCATAATTTCTACTTGAGGAAACAAAGACAACTGTTCTCTTGACGAGAATAATTAAAGGATGCATCACTTTCTACGTAGTTTCAAGGGCAGCAACGTGAACTAACGTCTAAGTACTTTTTAATGGGTTATTTGTCTGTTTCTCTCCCGATTTTGGGAACGGGCAGCTTTGGGTCTCCTGCTGTACCTTCGCCGGGTAGGCTGGCCTCCGGGCCAAACCAGTAGCTCCCTAGCCCTTCTAAAAGTCAACAATGCACATCCTGTTCAAGTATTATGTCTTCATTCGTCCTGTGGGAAGTCTCAGAGCACTGCATCGGTTGCAGTGGAAAGCGAACCCGGTCTTAAAGGACGTCTACCCTGATTTCTATTGCTGGGTGATTAACCCCGGCATGGCAGAAGAAGTGTATTTGCTGCTGGAAATGATGTCTACCCTCGGCAACCACCCCATTCCCCTAGTCTGTGGAAAAGCAATTAACAGGTGAAGCATCACTACCCGTGAATCATCTGGAAAAGTTCGTTACAGGACTGTCTACGATGCCTATACAGGATGTCCATTAAGTGAAGACACGACACCTTCTGTACTTGTTTACTACTAGGATAGAACTCAGAGATATTGCTGGGCAGCACCGAAGAGAGAACAAGGTGACAAAGATCAAGGAGCACTTTCAGGGGACAGTCGGGTAGACTGGACTATCTATGTGACTAAAAAGGCACCATAGATCCCCAAAGAGTAGAGAAAATCTGATTTTCTCTAATGTATTCGGAGGATTCATGAAACCCCACATTATCAAATTAAAAGATGTCTTTTTCAAATCAGGCTTTTCGACCCAGGGGTGTAAAGTCGGGGGTTAAAGAACAAGACGGTAAGTAAAACATTTACATTGGTATGACATTGTTCAATAAGTGACATAGTTGACTATTGTGTTTCAGTAGCAAAATTGTCTGGACCAAGATGCAAAGGAAACATCCCACCTTTGAAGGTTCCGCACCCATTATGACATGCAAAGTCCCGAAGTGCTCTATTCACCAAAACCAAGATTTAACCGCACAATTAACGCATTACACGTCCCACTAGAATACTATAACAAACAATGCTGAGTCCTCAGCAGATCGTAGTAAGCCATGGTGACATGGAAGTACAAGTAGGATTAGAATTACAGAAGAGTCGGAATGCTGTTGGCATGGTCCGAAGGCCATACCACGGCGTGGTAATTGGGAAGATTGAAAAGGGTTACCGCGATAGCCACACTAACGTTTCGAACTAAAGGCAATTTTAAAAAGGCTGGGACCTCATCAGAAGTGGGAGTTCAAAAGTGAAATCCTGCATAATCTATCATGTAATAGGGACCAAAGAATAGATATAATACCTCAAAGTGCTGAAACAATTGTAAGCCTCGCGGACACAACCAGTCTGTTTGCTGCATGTCAAAGGCCTGTATGAACAACAGTAAACTTCAATCCTCTAATACCTAGTGCTGATTTAGCTAGCTCATCCAGCCAAATCATGCAAAACTATTTACTCAACAAGGTGTTAAAATACAATCTTTTTAATTACCGATACAGACAGGACTGAAACCTTTGTTGCTCATGTTTTTCTTTAAGATCTTAAGCTTTCAGTGAATGTTAGATTCGCCGGTGTTACTTTGAGAAACACTGAGGAAGAATGACAAATTTTGGCTCCTGTAAACATTTTTCTGACTCTAGGCATAAAACGTATAATTGTCGGTTTCCGGAAATTTATCACGGTCCATCAAACATTGGTTTGAGGTGTATGCAACCTGAACATTTCTATCCTCTTCTTCTACTGACCACCAGTCAAGGCTCCGCACTTCCCAAAACATCTGTCGCACCACAATGCTAGTTTCACCCCGCATGCTGGCTGTTTGTCTCGACATGCTACTACTCAAGAGGTAGTTATGTCTCACTGTCTTCGTGCTCAGCAGTTACTGCTTCCGCGACATACGGAAGTGCTGCCACATTACCTTCAATTTTTGGTGAAATGGTTGAATGCCAGATATGGGAAAAACAGAATTCTAAGAACGCCTTGACGAAGCTTCGTTTGTGCCTGATCAATTACTTCGCCTTGAGGACCATGAAAGTCATGCATCCCGGCTGTTTTGGTATCAGATAGAGGAAATCCTCTGCTCACTGCTTGCGCAAAGCCCATTAGGGAAAGTTTTAGTGGGCTACCTTACATGATGGTTTGTGGAGCCTTTCAATGCATACATACCGACTACTAAGGTGCATTTTTGGACGAATACTATGCATTGGGTAGTGTCAATACTTGTTCACACTCGCTAGAGGTAACCTCCACTACCTCGTTCACTGCAGATTTAGCTCTCAGAGAGAGATGATCGCATAGGCGTTGATGGCTGGCAGTGGAGAGTATTCCAATTCATGAAGGATAGAAGTGTGACTGAAAACGATTGTTTGCCGATACGTTCTAGCGGTACCTAGACATCTGCAATCCGGTGGTGGTACTGAAAGCTTTATCCCTATCGTTAAAATGACATCGAACCCTTAATCCTCGAGATTTACGGAATTGTAATATGAGAATAAACTCATCATTCAGTGCCTCAAAACTGTTCGCTCTACGGCCAGAAGCATTCCATCGGAGTTGTTGAGAAGTTGTGATCACATGACATGTTTACTATGGGCCTATTAGAAGTATTTTGTTATGGGGAGATCACTTCAGACCATCAAGCAAAGTTATTCTCAAGAATTGAACACTCACATATGCCAGCCTCTTGATTTAGGTGACGATTCTGTCCATTAAGAACGTAATGACCAACTTGTATACAATTTGTCCGCCTCTGGTGCGTCTGATTATAGCGCTAATTTGTTGTATTGCAATGGCTTGAGACTTCTCCTAAGTGGTAAGAAGCCAAGGTAGTGTGGAAGAATATGCATTGCCAAGGTACATAGGTGTCAGGAGGCTATTGGTATAAATTAAAGGTTATGTAATACTTATGTTGTTTTAATGTGCCTTTCAGGGGAGGAGGCAA